ATAAACAAAGACAAAACTTAAATTTTTGTCATAAATAAATTTGTAACGGTTTTTTCTATCACATTAAAAGATTTTAGTTTTTTTTTTTTTTTACACAATAGAGATGTTTCAAAAGAAACACTATTTGTATCTAATTATTTTGTCACAAATAATTTTAATTGTAGCGCATATAATTGTTAAAAAAAACTAATAATTGTGTCTATTTTTTTCATTACTAAAACATGATTTTTTGTCACAATTGCATAATTAGTTATTATTAGTTTTAGTGACTTAATATTTGTAATGGATAGTAATAACTAAATTTAAACACAAATGTAATTTGTAACAAAAAAAATTGCACTTGACAACAAAACATTCTTTCATAACAATAAAAAAAATATTATTGGAGTGTTTGGATTAGCTAGTTTAAAATAGTTGATAGTTAATTGTTATTATTTAATAATTAATAATTGTTATTATTTATAATCTAAAATATTTAAATCATTTGATTAAAAATAGTAACTAAGAGTTTTTTCTAATCTCTAAAACAAACACCCTTATAAAAATAATCTCCTAACTATAATAGTTAGACTAATGAGGTCTTTAATTAAAAATATAAAAGTTGAGACTCTATAATTTTTAAAAGTGTATAATTTTAAGATGGTGAATTCAACTCAAATAGGTGATAGTAACAATTTTTTTATAAATTTTTTCCTAGTTATGGATTAAGGGGAATTTGTTTTGATATTTTTAAAATAGTAATTAGTTATTAATTTTAATTAAATTGATTAAATATTTTGAATTATAAATATTAATAAATTATCAATTGTTGTACTTGGGCTTTCGGGTTACGTATAAATGCATTTTCCGACCTCCAAAGCAATGATTCGAATTCGACTCCTTACGAATTTATTCAAAAAAAAAAAATTATCAATTGTTAGATATTTAATGTCAACTATTAATTGTTTTTTTAAAAATCAATTCAAATAACCTATTAATATTTAATTGTTGTGGGTCCCACCAAAGTCCAACTATTAATAAAAAAAAGGTAGGATTGGATGCCTGATGGGTTAACGTTGATGGTGAAGTTAACTGTCCGTTACCTCAAAAATGGATGAAACTTGTACAGAGGGACAATATTGATACCTTTTTCTATAGTAGGGAGGACGTGTAGTTAATTAATAGTAAAGA